CCCAAAACCCTAAACCCTAAATGTTACCTTCCCTCATCGCCCGAAACCCTGCGGCTCCGGCGATGGATTCGGCGAGGGACGGGAGGGCCCAGTGTAGGCTTCCACAGCTGGACTCCCCACCTCTGTTGAAGGCTTTAGGGCTTCAGGGCCTAGGGTTTAGGGTTTAGGGTTTAGGGTTTGGGGTTTAGGGTTTAGGGTTTGGGGTTTAGGGTTTAGGGCTTCAGGGCTTTTTCCTTGATCCAACACCTTGCTGAAATTGCTGCATGAAGCGACTTATTTGAATGTACGGTGCTTTAAAAGGGTCGAAGAATTCTGTTCGGCAACTCTCTTCTTCAACAACCAGGCCCAAAAAAGTTCAAACTTTTTAGGATAGACCGAATACATAAAGCCAAAAAGTTTAAAGTTCTCCCATTGGCCATCTAAGTCGGGCTTCATGGCTTTGGAGCTAGCAGAGTTCTTGAGGCTTTGCTTTTGCCGGTTTCTGGACTTGGACGGTTTAGGGTTTAGGGTTTAGGGAGGCCTATGGCAACCGAAATTCGCCAACAAACTCGGACCGTTTTAGCAAACTCCTGAACCCCCAGGCGAGGCCCCACACCCTCTCGCCCTGCACCCTAAACCCTAGCCCCTAAAGCCTAAACCCCAAAACCCTGAACCCCAAACCCTAAGCCTAAACCCTAAACCCCTAAACCGTAAACCCTAACACCCTAAACCTCTAAACCCTAAACCCCTCAACCCTAAACCCGAAGTCCTAAACCCTAAACCCCGAAACCCCCTACAAAAACCCAAAAGCTCCCGGGAAGCCCCGACAAGATGCACCTGGGCGCTGCAGTTCTCCCGCAGCATGAGTCGGTCTCCAGCTTGCATCCCGTAGCCCTCGAGACCTGGCAACAGGCTCCTAGAGTCTTTGGGGCTTTAAATTCGGGGTTGTTAAGGTTTTGGGTTCCCAGAAGAAGTTCCTGCAGCAGGGTTGGTGAGGAATGTCTGCAGCAAAAAGGTGTTGAAGGGACAGTTTTCAGACAGTCTGTGGGTTTATGAAGGTTCTATGGATGGAGCAGTACTCACCCTTGATTTTAACAAGGAACCCCACAAAACCCTAAACCCTCAACCCTAAACCCTAAACCCTCAATCCTAAACCCTAAACCATCGTGGTGGTAATTTTTTTAGGCCCCTACATTACCGGCTCCTGGGGCCGCATCTTTACCTGGAAGGTGTACCCGTTCGGGGTTGGGGCTGCTCTTAGGGTTTAGGGTTTAG